CCGCGGCTCCCGGCCCGGCTCGGCCCGCCCGCCGGCGCAGCCCGGGTCCCAGCCCCGCGCGGGTGCAGCCTTTGTGCACGCTGGGAACGCGTTCGCGTCCCCTGGGGCGCATCAAGTGCCCCACCCCCGCCTGCGCCTAAAAGAAGACTGTAGCTTTTATTTACCCTTGCAGCTCTCAAGTGGGTCCCATTTTTAGCCACCGAGGGCTGAAGAGTCTAGTGGGAAAGGCACGGAGCGCAGTCAGAAAGAAATGCCGTTGTAACCCCTGCCAAGTTTATTAAAAGCGCCTCGGTTTACCCAGCCAGGAAGTGGGGTTTGGGATGTCAGCATTTTCCCGGCGGTCCCAAGACGGCCACAGAGGTAGGAAAACCTCTGTGAAAACACTGTCAGTTGTCTGAGTGTATTTCAAGGGCAGGTTGCTGGGCTGTTTTCTCAGTTGTACACGTTTGCTTATTAGTATGCACGTTTTTGTGTGAAACTAAAACAAGAGTGATCTCTGACAATGTTTAAATTAATTCAGTAGCACTTCGGAAGAATATGTGTAGACGGTGGGGACTGATAAAAGGCTGTCATTTTAGGAAAACCTTTAAAAAGTCATGCATTGAGAGAATTGGACTTTGGATGGGGGCGATTTTAGATGAGGTGTTGTTGCTCACCTTTGTATAGCAACTAAGTTACTAAGTTCAAGAGTGCCAGCTCCCTTTGAAGTATTCTGTGTATGAGGTAGACAATACCTCTTAAATTGTATAGGTGCTAATTAGAAGCGCTCACCCTCAGCATGTTAGAAAGTTTGAAAGAATGGCTTGAGGAACCATAGCTTTTCAGCCGTCCCCCTACCTCATTTCCTACGCTGTATGATAATCCAGAGAATCATTTATTTTGAGGATGCTTGTTGTGTCCCTAGCCTGCAGCTCCTTTGGCCACATGGCCTTCCTCCAGAGTTTGAATCTTTACTGTGCCATCGTGCATGAGTTATTGTCTGTCTAGGCTGGATCTGGATGCCTCAGACTCAACTGCTTAGTCATTATTATTTGCTTTCCGCTCTGTTCTTTTCACTGTAAGCTTTTTTTATTGTGGAGGAAAGAGTTAAGACTCTTTGCTATTAAAGTGTTATATTTACTTGGAGGTAAATGGGAATTGCAGGGGTCAGGAGACTGGGATTATGTATTGCAAATCTCTGAGAAGCTGAGTCTTTGGCGTGGAATTCTGAATAGACCCCAAAGGAAGATGCAAGAGTTATCCTGGCTTTCCCTTTATTTTGGGACCTATCCATTGGCAAGATCCTGTGGTTCCCAAGGAAAGCCCTGGAGCAGGGAGCTATCAGCAGACTCCTCCTGTATTGATGCTGAACAGGAGGGGCTCTGCAAAGCAGAAGGAAGGAACAACTACCTACTCCAGAGGGGGTGGCCTGCCCGCTGTCCCTGCTGCATTCCTGACTAGGAAATGGGAAGAGAACTGTGTTGCAGCAACTAAGGGGTACTGTTTTAAGGAGGATTCTCAAGTATAGCTGAGGTTTGGTGGGCCTTCCTGTCCCTTTCCCTTCCATGGTGTTTCTTGTCCGTTAGCGCAGGGCAGCCCTCTTACGTTTGTGGACCTGTTCTTCCGCCCTGGTGCTCTAGCGGAGGCCTGGCACCTGTGTTGCTCTGTCAAAGTTGGCCTTTCATTTTATTTATTTAAATTTATCTTTATGTATTTAGTACAGGGTCTCACTAGGCAGCTTGGACTTGTAGTGATCCTTCTGTTTTCAACCTCTCCGGTGCTGGGATTACAGGCATGCACCACCACGCCTGGTCTCAGTGGCCAGCTTAGGGGCAGGGCTGGCATGGCCTGTGGTGCCGGGGACTGAACCACGGTCCTTGTTTTTGCCTAAGGAGGCACTTAGTCTGCTGAGCTGTCTTGCTGGCCCTGGCCTTCCATTTATTTGGAAACTAAGCAGTTTGATTTGTAAGAAACCCTCTAGACCTTCGTTATCTCTCTCTCCTTTCTGAATTAATATCCTGTATCTTCAGACTGAAGAAGAAGGACCCGTTTAGTATTCAGAGTCTCTTGGAAGGTTAAGAAGTGGGCTGCTTAGTTTGCCTGAGAAAAGAATAAACTGAAAGTCTCCACTGAGATAAAAAAAAAAAAAAAACCCAAAAAAACCAAACTGTAGTTTTTCTTTTGAGGGAGATAATGAATTAATTGTTTGGGTGAGAATTGTGGGCACTTGCACAAGGGAGCACAGGCTCGGGAGTGGGGTTGTGTTGGACAGCTTGTACCCTTGTCCTTGAGAGAAGAGAGGACCTCACCACACTGGTACAGTCATCTCATTGTGCTTTCCCTCCTTCCGGTTGCCCTGTGAGAAGAAGACAGCAATATGGAGGTGGAGTAGCCATCTGTTCTGAGGAGGGAAAACAGGCTTAGCTGAACAGCAGGGAGACCTGTATTCACCTGAGGTTGGTTGTCAGGCCCTGGGATGTGCTGCACTGGGACACGTGGGGAAGGTGAGGCTAATTTCTTAAGGATGCCTAAGTCATTTCATGAGCAGCTTTGGCAGTACTGCATTTTCTTTTTCTTTTTGAGGAAAAGTAGCACAGAGAAAAATGGAGTCCCACCGCCTCGAGGACTGTTAATCCTGGTGAGACAGTAGGATGTGCTGCAAGCTGATCACAGGCCTGAGGAAGCAGAAGCCGCAGACGGCGTTTCTTTGCACAGAACACTGGTCTGTTCGGGGGGGGGGGAAGAGTCTTATGGAAAGGTGACCAGGAGCTTAGGAAGCAGTGCACAGTGAAAGGCCAGGGTTTTTAGAAAATAGCCAGTGAAGAAGGTAACTGCGGGTGGGCTCTGAGCTTGAGCTGGTGTGGAGGAAAAGAGCTCCTGCACAACGGGACCAGTGTCACAGGGGAGGCTGACTGATGACAACAGCCTGTCTAAAGCAGGGCTTCAAACATTTGGGGTGATAACAGCACAAATGCATTTTTTGACATCTTTTGGTTTTTTTGGTATCAGGAATTGAATCCAGGATCTTGAGCTTGCCAGGCAGGTACTGTACCACTGAGCTATACCTTTGGCCCCCAAAAATGCATTTTATTTTGAGTTCCAGAACATACATAAGCATGTGTACTTGAAATGTTTCTGTTTCTATCTGTTGCTGTTTGTATTCTGTGTTCTTAAAATGCCTTAACCTGTGAATCCATCACGGTCTCATCAAACTATTTGTTCTTTGGAAAATGAAAAATCAGGTTGCAGTAGAGCCAGCCAGGCCAGGACTTGGAGATGCTGGGGTTTTGGTATATGCTTGACTGAGGACTGGCGAGATCCCTGTCTTGGCAGAGACAGAGTGGTGTGTGGAGACACTGGTGCTGAGGGGAAAAGCGCTCACAGAGATGAAAGGCAGCGCGATGGGGCTGCCCACCCATGTGTCCACTTCAAAGGGAGGAAGTGTGAAAGGAGTGAACTTGAATCTGAAAGCAGATTTCTTAAAAGCATGAGTTTTTTCTCTGTAGGTTATGAGAGAAGACAAATGGATCCAGAACAAATTGGCTGATGGATTTAGGTCATGTCCACTTTCCTGGGTTGTCTAGGGCGCACAGGTCTTACAACAGCAGTGAGTAGGAGGCTCACATCTCCTCTTCAGCTCTTAGAAGTCTGAGCAGAAGCAGCGCATAGAATGTGTGGTTTCTGAGCCCCACTTGCTGATCAAACTTGTTAGGAACTTGGCCGCTTGCCTCAACTGAGAATTGGAAAAGTCTTTTCATTCCATTTTATAAGAGGGTTAGCTACGAACTTCCTCAGAAGGCAGTGTCACGATCCAGAATCGAACTGGGCTGCTGCTTTACCCAGCATGTGGGGGCTAATTCCAGTGTCTGCCCTAGAGTTACTCAAAGGGAGGCTTTTGGTTTTTCTTTTTCATAGCAATTAGCAGCTGATTCCAACACCTAACACTCCTACCAAGTAAAATGAGCCCTGTAGTAAGAGCGCACAGGTGTCCCACTTCACCCCAGCATGCTGCTTAGTTACTGCTTGCTTTTATCATGGACACTGCGACCTACTTGGATCCTCCCTTTGGCCTATCTTGCAGCCTTGCCTGCTTGTCTTACCTTCATGTTTTCTCAGTGTCTGACCTTATCCTTCCTCATAAACATCTTCCTGCTTCCTTCCACTCCCTTCTTCCTTCAGGCTTCTTAAATGCTGTCAGAGCCAGGTGTGGTGGAATGCCAGCAATCAGGAGGCTGAGGTAGGAGGGTTGCAATGAGTTCAAGGCCAGCTTAGATTGTATAGTGAGACCCAGTCTCAAAACACACAAACAGCCCACCCCAGAGACTCTGTTTCCTGAAATTTATTTATCTAGTGCCTTCAGCTCTGGTTTCTGTAATGTTATCTCTGACCCCCAGACTTATGGTATGTACCTCTTGATGGGCTTAAAATTCATAAAAAAGAATATTTTGGAGGTTGGGGTTTTAGCTCAGTGGTAGAGTACTTGCTTAATATGTATAAGGCCTGGGGTTCAATTCCTATTACCACACACAGAAGTTTATTTTGAAGACATGGAAAATTTTTTCCTACTGGATGTATATTTATTTAGTGGGAGGGCAGGCAAAAGGAACTTTTCTGTTTGATGGAAAAATTTGAACAGAGTGGAAAACCCCCTACAGAATGCTAATTTTAAGGGATATTCTTCTTAAAACTAGTCTCACTTTATTAATGAGTTTTCTCTAATACGTGTACAAATGTTGGACCAATTATGAATTTAATTAAATACAATATAATTTGTTATCTGCTGTTTTAAGGACTCATAAGACCATAGCTTAATTCTGATTCAGAAAGATTCCTTGTGTTTTCATGTGAAACAAATTTCTTTTGTGTTTTGTGGGGGGAAGAAAAGGTAGAACCCAGGGCAAGCTAACGGCCGGAGGACACTAGGCTGGGAGGGAAAGCCTGCTCACGTGCTGTGGAGACACCAAGCAGGCTCAGCAGTGCCTTGGTTCACATCTTTGACTGAATCTGTGAGACTTGGTCGTGCATTTGGAAGATTTTAAAATGTTTTACAGCCCAAGATCATAAATCATTTTGTCCAGTGTGTTTCTTACAAAAGTGAAACTAACTCATTATATGGGAAAACAATTATAAACAACTTGTAGCCATCAGAATAAAAGTATTTTCTTTTTTCCTTCCCTAACTTCCACCTTCCTTGATTTCACTCTTTTTAAAAATATCTACTTATTTATTTGGTACAGGGTCTTGCTGAGCAGCTTGGATTTGTGTGGTACGAAGGATCAAAGCCAGGTCCTTGTACTTGCCAGGCAGGCACTTAGACCGCTGAGCTATCTCCCCAGCCTCTTGGTTTCATTCTTAAACACCACCAGTTACCAGTTTTGAAG